AAATATCATCTATATTGTTATGAAGGGACAGTACGGATTTATGTTCTATCAGAGGGGTCACTGGCCTTACTCCCAAATTGCCTGTTGATAATATTCCCACTGTGATTCGTTGTGAAAATGTTGCTATTTTTAAAAAATAAATAAAAAAATATCACAAAGGTAAAATCCTGCACTGTATATATATATATATATATATATATATATATATATATATATATATATATATATATATAAACACACAAACGCATATATATATATATATATGTGTGTGTGTGTGTGTTTGTGTGTTTAAATATATATATATATAACATATAAATATATATATATATATATATATATATGCGTTTATGTGTTTATATATATATATATATATATATATAAACAAAAACGCATATATATATATATATATATGTGTGTGTGTGTGTGTGTGTGTGTGTACAGAGAAATAGAGAGAGAAATTACAGGTGATTTGATTAATCATAATTAATTCATCGAATCTAGAAGAATCCTCAACAGAAAGCACTGGACGGCCGTTTCGTACTATTTTTAGGAATCATCAGCACTGCAAATCCACTACCAAGAATCGAATCCAGGCCGTCACGATATGACGCAAGCGTCATACCCACTTGATCCACGGGTCTTGGTGACGGAGAGGTAACAAACCAAACTCGATACAGAGTCACCTCTTCACAAATTCCGTCGTGTGACCCATCCGAGTTTACTTATACCAACAGACTGTGCCCCCATGAGTCATGATTCATGGTGGCACAGTCCGGGTTCCATTCTCGGTAGTCGGAAAATAGGACAAAGCATCCGTTCTGTGCTTTCTGCATTCGGTTGAGGTTTCTTCTAGACTCGATGAATTAATTATGATATATATATATATATACTTGAAAATATATTTTCAATTGAGCACTGTTGAATAAAACAAGCTAATTCTAAAAACAACGGCCACCTGCGTAAATGCGAAGCTCTTCAGTAAAATGAATTGAGCACTATGGCTGCTTGGCGTTTGTTTTACGTTTGTAAAAACAATACGCTAGATTTGGTTGACTCATTCTCTCGAGTGGAGATGGCTCAGTGGTAGAAGCTCTGACTAACACTTGGGTTTCGATCCGATTTGAGGCATTCGGTTGTTTAGTCGCACTGAGGAGCTGTGGTACAGCGAAACAATGCTGTCTGCGAATAACATAGTGTGTGTCTGTGTAAATATCTATCTATTTATATAGAACTATTAGAAAATTGATTTAATCCAACATATTTGTTTGTTTAAATGTATACGTCAGAGAATCAGTATAAAAACAGTGAGTTCCTGATTAATAAGTTTGTGTGAATACATTGTAGAACAGGGAAAAGTAAGGAAGGTTAAGGATATAAAAATTATATAGTACAACACAAGGAAGGAAGTAGACTCATCATTTCCTATATCCTAAAAGAATATGACACTTAAAAGAAAACTGTATTCTTCTTCTATATGGTGTGTCCCTTCAGGACGTGGGCCATCATGGCTCCCCACAACATACTACCATTTGTCACATTTAACAAAAAAGGTGGAGACGATGAATATTTCTCTGAGGAGCAATTTTATTTTTTTGATTTTTGGGCAGGTCACCCCTGCTTCGTACCAACATTCATGGAAAATGTCATCTCGCAAACTTACCAATCATCTGCTATCGGTTTAAATCTATATATAAAAAGTTGTAGCCTCTGTCTGTTTGGGTTTTTTTTTTTTTTTGTTGTTGTTGTTTTTGTTTTTTATCGAACTACTTCTAGTTTTGGGGCGAGAGACTCCCATATCTATATATATATATTCTGAGGATATATTACCAATCGTACTTGGATAAGTATATTTCATCTCAATCAAAGCGGGGCCCCGGGAAGCACAACACCCCACTGAAAATGTTTTTCTTTTGATATCAATTAAATTTAAATTTGAACAAGGGAATGACTCCAAGGATACTTGTATAAGTACATTTTATTTTGGTCAAGGAGGTGCCAGAAGACAAAACTCCCAGACTGAATTTTTTCCCTTTGATTTAAATTAAATTTAAATTTGAACAAGGGAATGACTACTATCCAAAATATAGAAGGAGAAATCCAGAAGATAAAAATGAGACAATATGGCCGTCAAATTGAACAAGAAATCACCAATCAGTAGGTAGTGCTTTACAATATATATTTGTTGCGAAAATTCAACTGTCATATCAATGTTGAAATCAGCTCATCAATTCATTCAATCGAGTATTGCATCAAATACATATCAATGGTGTCAGATCAAGCTGTTTTTGTACAAACCTCCCGCTAGTATTCCCGCCTTTGATTTAAATTAAATTTAAATCTTAACAAGGGGAATGGTTCCTATCTGAAATATAGAAGGAGAAAACTAGAGAATGGAGGTCACATCAGCAAGATCATTTTCATTATATTGTAATGCATCATTTTCTCCATAAATTATAACAATGATTTAAAATTAATCATCATTTTCTTGCAAAAAAATGTAGGACACGCAGCAAGGCACGGATAATTCAATAGTACAAAATAAAATGGGTTATTTGGCGGGATTCTATCATTCTAAAAACTGCCACTTCTGACATCATGGTAATGGTAATATTAAACGTTTCGTAATAAGGAAACATTCAGCATTCATTGATCGAACAGCGATGCCGTCTTCTGAAATAAAAAAATAAATTCTTTTAAAGAAGTCTCAGTAACTGAGATATTAGCTTTCCACCATCAACGAGCTGACTCTGAATTCACAATGAACAGTTGCACTTACAAAGAGGCTCTTTCCTTTGAGCGTCTATTGGGACTCAAGTTCATCCCAGACCACAAGTGATATATATATATATATATATATATATATATATATATATATATATATATTACTTCAATTTAATTAGAAAGCAAACACAGCAAACAAACTTAAGTGTCCATTGATTAGATTTTATTTTCTCCAGGTAGGTGGTTTTCACCTGGTTCATCAGATCACATTTCCAAGGGTGAAAAAATGGTTTTAAATTTACGTATTATTTTTATACACTTTTGAGGGGTAGTTTTAAGTTGATGGAAGGTGATGGAAACAAAGAGGAGGAATATGACAGATATGGTCGAAATTAGAGAGGAAAGGGAGAGATAAGAATAATTTTAAATCTATTTTTATTAAGATACTCAAGAGTAAAGGAAGGGGTTAAGGACCAGACATTTAACCTATTTAATAAGTCATCTCACAAGAAACGAGATAAAGAGAAAAAAGGGAAGTAAAGATATAAGAAATCAGATGTGGAATTTGGGGTGTGAGGAAAGAAAGGGAAACAGAAAGTTGGGAAAAATAAAAGGTAGAAGAAAAGGAAGAATAAATTAACATATATGGGCATATTGCGGTTAATTTGAAAAAAAAGCACAGATTTATATATTTGGCAGTTAATGTTGGACATTAATTTAAACATTTAAAAATCATCAACAAAATAAACTAGGAAAAAATATAATGTGAATATAAGATAAACAAACAATAAATATTAATATTATAAACATTATTGATATTATGAATGAGATTTAAAGAGAAAAACATTAATTAAAATCTAAAGTTTCAAATTTTAAATCTTGAATGTTAATATATATATATATATATATATATATATATATATATATATATATATATATACGATTTATCACTAAAACCGTCGGAAAATGTTCGGGTACTTATATTTGGGAAGTATCTACTATGCTTCATGTTTATAAATGCCAGATCTGACAAAGAATGGAGAATTGTTACCTTATAAAGGCTGCCCAATGAACCCTTTCCAGCCTCCACAGATGTTAGAACAGTTCACGCGGCATTTTAGACAATGATATTTTCCGCTGTACGACTTCTTTCCTGCAGACGAATCGTTGCAATTCTCTTTATTCTTTATTGCTATTTCCATGGGAAAAGGTTCTGACGAATATATTCTCTAGTTATTCGAATATAGATATTTACAAAGAAGACCCATTATGACACAGACATCTCA